AATGGCACACACATGTCTATAAAAGGTCCCACAGTTGACAGTGCATGTCAGAGCAAAAACCAAGTCATGAGGTCGAAGGAATTGGTCAGGGAGGTGACCTAGAACCCGATGTTCCCTCTGACAGAGCTCCAGAGTTCCTCTGTGGAGATGGGAGGACCTTCCAGAATCAGGCCTTTATGGTAGGCCAGACGGAAGCCACTCCTCAGTAAAAGGCACATGACAGCCCGCTTGGAGTTTGCCAAAAGGCATCTAAAGGACTCTCAGACCATGAGAAACAAGATTCTCTAGTCTGATTGTCACGCTCGTTGATAGATGTATCAGACCAAGGTGCAGCGTGGTATGCGTACATATTCCTTTATTAACTGAATACAGAATCAAAACAACAAAATACAAACGAACATGAAGTTCAACAGGCTACATAAACACAAGCCAAAACAGAAACAAAGATCCCACAACTAAGGTAGGCAAAATGGCTGCCTAAGTATGATCCCCAATCAGAGACAACGATCGACAGCTGCCTCTGATTGGGAACCATACCCGGCCAACATAGAAATAGAAAATCTAGAATTCACACCCTGACCAAACCAACTAGAGAAAACAGGGCTCTCAAGGTCAGGGCGTGACACTGATGAAACCAAGATTGAACTCTTTGGCCTGAATGCCAAGCGTCACGTCTGCAGGAAACCTGGCACCATCCCTACGGTGAAGCATGGTGGTGGCAGCATCATGCTGTGGGGATGTTTTTAGCGGCAGGGACTGGGAGACTAGTCAGGATCAAGGGAAAGATGAACGGAGCAAAGTACAGAGAGATCCTTGATAAAAACCTGCTCCAGCGCGCTCAGGACCTCAGACTGGGGTGAAGGTTCACCTCCAACAGGACAACGACCCTAAGCACACAGCCAAGACAACGCAGGAGTGGATTTGGGACAAGTCTCTGAATGTCCTTGAGTGGCCCCGCCAGAGCCCGGACTTGAACACGATCGAACATCTCTGGAGAGACCTGAAAATAGCTGTACAGCGACGCTCCCCATCCAACCTGACAGAGCTTGAGAGGATCTGCAGAAAATAAAGTGAGAAACTCCCAAAATACAGGTGTGCCAAGCTTGTAGCGTCATACCAAAGAAGACTCGAGGCTGTAATCGCTGCCAAAGGTGCTTCAACAAAGTACTGAGTAAAGGGTCTGAATACTTATGTAAATGTGATATTTCAGTTTTTTTAATTTGCAAAACATTCTAAAAACCTGTTTTTGCTTTGTCATTATGTGGTATTGTTTGTAGATTGATGAAAAAATAAGAACAATTTAATCAATTTTAGAATAAGGCTGTAACGTAACAAAGTCAAGGGGTCTGAATACTTTCCAAATGCACTGTATACATTTACATTTTAGCAGACGCTCTTATCCAGAGCAACTTACAGTTAGTGAGTGCATACATTTTTCATACTGGCCCCCCGTGGGAATCGAACCCACAACCCTGGCGTTGCAAGCGCCATGCTCTACCAACTGAGCTACAGGGGACTGTATACACCTACAGTCTCACTCCATGATACATACATTCTATTTCTTCATACAGAAATTATTCACACAATGCGTAAAGCCCACCAATAAAGTTACAACTCATAATATTTTGTTGTTTAAGGTAACATGTTGGGGGTAGTATTAGGTGACCATATATTATAGTCAAGATGAGGTGTCATTTGTGGATTGTAGTAGTAGTAGATAACAACTCAGGGTATGGGGGCATCAGTGAGGTGTTCGGTAGCAGTAGTATTTGGGGTGTAGCATGGGACAAAGAGGAAGCTAAGCGATTCCCACTCTGATTCTGATTTCCTGGTTCGCTCTCTTTCTCTCTCAGTCAGATGCTGGTACTTCTATCATGTCCCAGCTTGTCCACCTTGCCAGCTCTCCTTATAAGGACTGGAGCCCAATCCCTGTCCTCCTCTCCTTCAGGTCTGCAACAATGCACACCACGGGGATTGTGACAATAAACATGCACGCTCAAACATTCACTCCCTCCCTCCCTCCCTCCCTCACACACACACATACACACACACACTCAAGCATTCACCCTCACACACGCTGACACACTCCTGTACATACTGGAATGTGAGTCACATGCTTTAAAATGATCTGATCCAAACTCATATTCTATACACATACATTACACACAAAAATACATGGTAACTTTGTCATACAATTATGTCATGAACAGCCAACACACTATATACCTACTCATACAAAAACACACTGACACACACAAACAAGCCAGCTCAAGCTAACCTACTGCTACTGATGAGTAAATTAGTATGCAAGGAGGGACACATACGAGCAGTACACACTCCCCCCTTCCTGAAAGATCCAAGGAGACCTGGAGTGAGAGAGAGAGAGAGAGAGAGAGAGACGGAGAGAGGGGGTGGGGGGGGGGAAGCACAGAGGGGATCAAATGAGAGGGTGTTAAAAAGGAGGGGAAAGTTTGGTGAGAATAAAAGAAGACGGCTGGTGTGGAGAGAGGGAGAGAGAGAGAGAGAGAGAGAATGTGAGCGTTAAGAGAAGAACAAAGAAGAGTGAAGAGGGAGAGCGAGAAAATACATTAGATATCCTATTATTCTACAATTCAGGTATAGTAAAATATTAACTACTGGCATTGGTTTGTTTCAGTTTTCTTTCACTTGGTTGCTATGGTGATAAGTTTGAGAGCATGACTGTACTAATGTTTCACAACCACAAAAAAATATGAGAAATGATTGATTAACATAGTCGACATCAACTCAGATAAAGCCATACAACAACTTTAATAATTTAGAATGTTGCTGTGTTATTCTATGGATGAAAGTATGTGGAAGCTAAAAGGAGGACTAGCATGTGTTGAGAGTTCAGCTTGGGTTCCCACAGATTTGTCTGGCACCCTACCAACTGAGAAGAGAGTACTAGCTGGTGGAGACTGCACTCTCCCTTTGTTTTTATGTTATTTTAATGGTTACTCATCTGAGCCAATGCATGCTCATTATTAAAGCCCTAACAAGTGACCCTTCACCTACATACATTTGTACATCCTATATAACCCCAGGATGCTTATCTACCACAGGAGGTTAGTGGCACATTAATTGGGGAGGACGGGCTCGTGGTAATGGCTGGAGCGGAATAGGTGGAATGGTATCCAATACATCAAACACATGGTTTGATGCCCTTCCATTCGCTCCATTGCAGCCATTATTATGAGCCGTCCTCCCCTCAGCAGCCTCCACTGTTATCTACCTCTGCTCTATGTACAATAGTGACTAAATGTGGTGGGCAGTGTTGTCCACCTTTGTGCAGAATTAATTCATCTGTTCATTCTGTCTTTTCTTTCTTTTTTTTAACTCCTTGAAAATCAGCCTTATTAGTTTATCTCTCTGTGAACCAGTTGTCCTGCAGTACATTATCTCTCTGTGAACTGTTGTCCTACAGTACATTATCTCTCTGTGAACCAGTTGTCCTACAGTACATTATCTCTATGTGAACCGGTTGTCCTGCAGTACATTATCTCTCTGTGAACCAGTTGTCCTACAGTACATTATCTCTATGTGAACCGGTTGTCCTGCAGTACATTATCTCTCTGTGAACCAGTTGTCCTACAGTACATTATCTCTCTGTGAACCGGTTGTCCTGCAGTACATTATCTCTCTGTGAACCGGTTGTCCTGCAGTACATTATCTCTCTGTGAACCGGTTGTCCTACAGTACATTATCTCTCTGTAAACCAGTTGTCCTACAGTACATTATCTCTATGTGAACCGGTTGTCCTACAGTACATTATCTCTATGTGAACCGGTTGTCCTACAGTACATTATCTCTCTGTGAACCAGTTGTCCTGCAGTACATTATCTCTCTGTGAACTGTTGTCCTACAGTACATTATCTCTCTGTGAACCAGTTGTCCTACAGTACATTATCTCTATGTGAACCGGTTGTCCTACAGTACATTATCTCTCTGTGAACCAGTTGTCCTACAGTACATTATCTCTCTGTGAACCAGTTGTCCTGCAGTACATTATCTCTCTGTGAACTGTTGTCCTACAATACATTATCTCTCTATGAACCGGTTGTCCTACAGTACATTATCTCTCTGTGAACCAGTTGTCCTACAGTACATTATCTCTATGTGAACCGGTTGTCCTACAGTACATTATCTCTCTGTGAACCAGTTGTCCTACAGTACATTATCTCTCTGTGAACCAGTTGTCCTGCAGTACATGATCTCTCTGTGAACAAGTTGTCCTACAGTACATTATCTCTCTGTGAACCAGTTGTCCTGCAGTACATGATCTCTCTGTGAACAAGTTGTCCTACAGTACATTATCTCTCTGTGAACCGTTGTCCTACAGTACATTATCTCTCTGTGAACCGGTTGTCCTACAGTACATTATCTCTCTGTGAACCGGTTGTCCTACAGTACATTATCTCTCTGTGAACCAGTTGTCCTACAGTACATTATCTCTCTGTGAACCAGTTGTCCTGCAGTACATGATCTCTCTGTGAACAAGTTGTCCTACAGTACATTATCTCTCTGTGAACCGGTTGTCCTACAGTACATTATCTCTCTGTGAACCGGTTGTCCTACAGTACATTATCTCTCTGTGAACCAGTTTTCCTGCAGTACATTATCTCTCTGTGAACCGTTGTCCTACAATACATTATCTCTCTGTGAATCGGTTGTCCTACAGTACATTTATCTCTCTGTGAACCAGTTGTCCTACAGTACATTATCTCTCTGTGATCCAGTTATCCTACAGTACATTATCTCTCTGTGAACCAGTTGTCCTACAGTACATTATCTCTCTGTGATCCGGTTGTCCTGCAGTGCATTATCTCTCTGTGAACCGGTTGTCCTACAGTACATTATCTCTCTGTATCTTTCTGTCTGTTGTATCCTGTGCCTCCTCCTGTATGGGTTCATATCGTAATAATGTGGGAGTTAATTCCTACTTGTGGTTATAATCTTTCAATTTCTGTCCCACAGAGATGATGTCATTCTGCTGGAACTTGGCTGCTCTGCTCCTTCTACTACTACTGACCCCTGACCTGCTTCCCACCCGCCTCATCAACACCCACCCCGTCCTCACACACGCCGTCCCCACCTCCCAGCCAGTCACATACCCCAAGATCCAATACGTTACCGGCTTGGGCTTCGACTACAATGAAGATGACTACACTGAAGAGGATGCTTCCCATTTCCCTTCTAACCACAGCAAAGCCTCATCAGCTTCTACTCTGGTTCCGATGCAGTCCAAGCCCTGTGACTACCACCCCTGCCAAGACAACCAGATCCCCTGCTCCCAGCTCTCTGCCCAGACCGGATGCCTCTGCCCTGGTCTAAGCGGGGTAGACGAGCCCCCTCACGCTCCACACCTCCAGAAGCTAGTGCCAGGCACTGATGGGGGGGCAGAGGTACGGTGGTGCGCCCCAGCCTCTGTGGTATCTGGGTACCGGGTCGTGATCGAAGATCGAAAGGGAGCACCTCTCCAGTTCGGGGGTGATTCTCGGAGCGGGGTGCTGGGGGAACTAGAGGCAGGTGTCAAGGTGTGTGTGGAGGCGGTGAACAGGGCGGGAACCAGCGCCCCTTCGGAGCTCTCCTGCCTGCACTACGACCCCCCTGAGGCCATCAACCTGGCCCTAAGGGCGTGGGTTATCGTAGGGGGGCTGGGTTTACTCCTGTTCCTCTCCCTGGTCGCCCTGGTCCTCTGGAGGCGACAGATGTGTAAAACAGGGGAAAACTCAGCAGAGGGGCTGGGGAACCCCTCCTACAGCACGGAGGGAACGCTGTGATTACAGATGGTACAGTGACTCAGTAGCACAGACGACCCTTGGAGAGAATGTAGGAGTAAAGCAACTGGGACAGGACAGAGCCAAAATCGCTTCACTCACCAGTGACTCACCAGCACAGTGCTCAGGTTGTTCAGAATCCTGCACTTATGAATATAGAAATTAAACAAGAACTTTGGACTTTTGTGGACTAAATAACCCTAACAAAATCTTAAGAGGCTTTGTGACTAAAGAGACTGCAGGTTGTTTGCTGGCAAATTAACTTGTGTACGATAGGATCATGACAGGGCCGAGTTATGGCAGTCGGATTCATGTGTAGAATAAATAAAAGTAACTGAATACTTATGATAAATAACAAAAGCAATTGTTTTTCTAATAAAAGTGTTTTCATAATTTTGGCTGAGTTTGTGTGAGTGATTGTTTTTAATGGAAGGAACATAATATTTTGATAAAACTACATTAATATTGTTGGAAGTAAAAGTTCCTATTACAGTAATGCAACTTTTATTTTGAAACTTGAGTAAGATGAGCCGTTGAAGATGGAAGACGCAGACCAAGATGTCAACACAAGTCCAGAGGATAGAATAGACACCGGGGGGAGCAATGAAGAGGTCACTGTGGACTGTGAGGCAGAGGATAGAGTAAACGCCGGAAGGGAAAGGAGGGGGAAAATGGAGTCCTTTGAGAAGGCAAGAAATAGATATTGGTCAGGAGAAATGCAGTATTATCATAAGGAGACGTATACTTGGATGAATGAGGAGGAATGGAGGGAAAAAGAGAGGCAGAGGAGGTCTAAGAGAGAGATGGAGGAAGATTGTGAGTTTGAGTCAGTTACAAATGGCGGGAAAAAGGGAAGGTTTGTTAAAGAAGAGTGGTAGGAAATGTAAGCAAAGTGAGCTGAAGACCGGAGGAGAAATGGAAGTGAATGAGGGTGATGTATCGGAGGTGGAAGGTGTGGTGAAGTACTCGGAGCCTGAGGATTGCACAGTGGTTCAGGATAAAGATGAGTCTGTGACAGTAGGAGTGAAGTTTGTGGAAAAAGTGGATCCTTGCCTTTTGGTTGATCCATTTGTGGTTTCAAGATGGGTGAAAAAAGTGTTGGGTAAAGTGGAATCGGTGAGGGTAACCAGAAGTGGTCTAGTGATAATTGTTTGTGTTTGTTGGGCAGAGGGAGAAGGCGCTCAGAGTTAAACAGATGGGGGAAAGAAATGTATGCACTCACTAACTGTAAGTCGCTCTGGATATTAGCGTCTGCTAAATGACTAAAATGGAAAATGGAAAAGGGCGCCATTGAGAGGAGTGATTACTGGGGTAGCAGTAAATGTAAAAGTGGATCAACTGAAGGAGAAGATTCCCGGTATGTGTGATGCTCGTCGTTTGGTGCGACGCAAACAGGGTGTCGAGAGTGGGGAAACAGAAGAGTCATTGTCTGTTCTTTTGAGTTTTGAAGTTGAGTCTTTTCCGGATAAAGTGAAGTTAGGATATATAAGTTATCCTGTGCGAGCTTATGTGCCGAGTACATTACGATGTTACAGGTGTCAAACTTATGGGCATGTGGCAGCAGTATGTAGGAGGGAGATTCCAAGGTGTGAGAAGTGTGCAGAAGGGCATGAGACTAAGTCCCATGAGACCTATAGCCCCGTGTAGCTCAGTTGGTAGAGCATGGTGTTTGCAATGCCAGCGTTGTGGGTTTGTTTCCCACGGGGGACCAGTATGAAAAAAATAAAAATAATGTATGCACTCACTAACTGTAAGTCGCTCTGGATAAGAGCGTCTGCTAAATGACAAAAAAATAAATAATAATAATAAGGAGGGTGAAGCAGTGGGGAAAGTGGTGGTATGTGCTACTTGTAGGGGTGGCCATGGGGCTGGGGATCAGACATGTCCAGTGCGAGAGAAGCAGGTTGAGGTTTCCAGGGTAAGAGTAGAGAAGAAGTTGTCATATGCGGAGGCAGTGAAGAAAGTAGAGGAAGATGGGTCAGGGGGGGAGTGGTGAGAGTAGGAGATATATACCAGTACAGTGGGATAGGCAAGCAAGTGATATATGTTTCAGTAAGATTGGGTTTTTAGCGTTTATAGCAATGGTTATTAATTGTACTGCAGGGATGGAATGCAAATCGAAGAAAATTGAGGTTGTGGTGGCAGCTGCCAGAGAGATATTTGGGTGTGTGAGACTTGACAGCAGAAGAGTTACAGGGAGTGTTAAGTGGTGATGTCCCATCATTTTAGGTTGAGGGCATGAGGTAGGAGTGAGTATATTTAAGTAGTGGAGAAGGGTGAAGTTAATTAGTAGTAGTAGTTTTGAAGTAGTGAGTGTAGTGTTAGCTGGTAGGATATTTTTTTGCTTTGTTTTATTTTATTTTTCAAGAAAAGATAAGGGAGTTGTATTCCAGTCTAGTAGGTGGCGGTAATGCAACAAATTGGATGCCAACCGCCGTTAAACCTCATTGAAGAAGAAGAAGAAGAAGAAGTTACCGCTCAAACAATCAAAATGGAACGAATGAGGAAATACTGTACTACGTGAGAAGATTCCATTCAAATGGACACCTATAAACAAGATGGCAAACTCAGGTAAGTGCGTATACTACGACTGCATTCTAAATGTACCTTCTTCGTGCAGTTCGCGGCGCCGCTAGATCGTTACTGATCATCTGTCTCAGTGATCCATAATATGACAATACGTTGTATCAAATGTCAATCATTGATTTTGTCAGTGTAACACCAGTTTGATTTGATAGGCAATATGTGGTTTGAAAGTGTCTGGTCGTGTGTTATTATACAATGACTCAGATCTTTTCTACTGCCATTTTTTTGGCCAACTGCAATCTCACTGTCTGTCTCAGTAGTACAGGGGTCCCCAAACTTTTTCCTGTGAGGGCCACATAACTTTTCCCTTCTCTGATGGGGGGCCGGTGTCAGTTTGTAACAGAAAAAGTGTGACGATCGTAGGGGAGCTTAAAAATTTATTGTTTTCCAGAAAGCCACACATAACCAAATAACCCTTTCCAGGTTCTTTACAGAAAAAAAGTCAGGAAACAAATAATAACACTAGTAATGAAATAAAAAATAACTAAATAACCCTCTCTGAGTTCTTCACAGAAAAAACAGGAAATAAATAACACTATTTATGAAATAAATAATAACTAAATAACTCTCTCTGGGTTCTTCATAGAAAAAAAAGCCATGGAACATTAACTTTCTGTTGTGCCATGCACAATCTTAACAGATAAAAGTTCAGCTCAGTTGTCAGAGCAGAATCTCTCTGACACATATGAGCAGTCTCTTAAAGTTCTTGTGTTCCTTCCTTATAATCCTTTTGTAGGTTCCAGTAGGCTTGTAGACACCGCTGTTTGCAGCTCTCTCTCATCAACTTCCCTGTGAAAACCACAAAGGAAGCAGGTTGAGAAACTGAACTAAGTGATACAGCACCTACACAGCACAATACATTTCACTACCAGTATGGTTGTAAAGATGGATTTTATCCCAGTAGATTTTATTATGATTATATTTGTTTATGCTCAGAATGACTCATTCAAGTCAGAAAAGTGAGCTTACCTATGTATGTTCATCAGTGTGAACTGTGGGCCTGCATCTGGCTGGTGAGAAGTTGAATATCAGGTTCCATTCTAGTTACAGCCAGTCTCAAGCACTGATGCAAATGTTCATCTGTCAATCTTGATCTCATCGGAGTTTTCAGCAGTTTCATGCGAGAAAAGGTTTTCTCGCAGATATACGTGCTGCCAAAAACTGTGGACATTTTCATTGCGTGTTTTTTGACGTTTGGATATGTGTCGTTTGGGAGGGCGGCATAGAAGTCAATGAGACTGTTGGGCTTGAATGCGTCTTTCAGAACATCACAGTTCTGTAACTCAGCCAACTCAAACTGATATGAAGGCTGGGCTTCATCAATGTCGGCAACAAAGGGGTTCTGAAAAAGACGGATTTCTTTTGCATGAACATGTAGTTCACTGAATCGCACACCGAACTCCGCCTTCAGCATTTCCAGTGCTTCCACGCACTTTTCAGCTGGGAACGGGACCGCTGGGTTCTCTGTCGACAGGTTTTGGGTAGCAGGAAGATGGACGAAGTTGCGCTTTTTCACTTGTTCCAAAAGCAGCGCTAATTTCACCTCAAATGCTTTTATGTGTGAATACATGTCGCAAATGAGTTTCCCCTCGCCTTGTAGCTGCAAGTTAAGGCTGTTAAGTATTTCTGTCACGTCTGTTAAAAATGCGAGGTGCCATTTCCATTCTGGGTCGATCAGCTCTGGGACCGTTTTGTCTTTTAAATGAAGAAATGCGTTAATTTCGGGTAGCAGCTCGTAAAAACGCCTCAAAACTCTGCCCCGGCTCAGCCATCGGACCTCTGTGTAGTACAGCACATCTCCGTGCGTAGACTCCAGTTCAGACAGGAATTCTTGGAACTGCCTGTGTTTAAGTCCCTTTGCTCTGATGAAGTTTATGCACGACACCACAACTTTCATTACAGAATCCCACGTCAACACTTTGCAGCACAGTGCTTGCTGGTGAATTAGGCAGTGGACTCGTAGCGGGGCGGTGAGACCCCTTTTTTCCAACTCCCGGTTCATGCGTCCTATTAGACCGCGAGTTTCGCCCACCATGCTAGGAGCCCCGTCAGTCGTGATGCTAGCTAGCTTTGACCAGTCCAGGTCCAACTTCTCCATGGTTTGGCACACTTTGTCAAAAATATCCTCTCCCGTTGTAGTCCCTTTGAGACTTTGGAGGGCTGCCAGCTCCTCGCATATCTCAAAGTTTGCGCTAACTCCACGAATAAAAATGAGCAGTTGCGCTGTGTCTTGCACGTCCGTGCTCTCATCCAGTGCTAATGAAAAAAGGCCAAATTCTTTCGTCTTCTGCTGCAGCTGGGCATATACATTACTCCCGATTTCTTCAACGCGTCTGGTGATTGTACTCGCCGACAGACTTACGGCATTAAATGCATCTTTCTTCTCGGGACACACCTCCTCCGCGACAGCATCCATACATTTCTTAACAAACTCTCCGTCAGTGAAAGGCTTACCGCTGCTTGCTATCAGTTTAGCAACCCGAAAGCTGGCCCGAACGGATGCCTGGTTCAGCTGAGCTTGGCGTACAAATGTATTCTGCTGAGATAGTAGTCCACTTTTTAGCTTTGAGAGTTTGTCTGCTCGTATTTGGCCTTGCAAGCTATCGTACTTGTCTTTGTGACGGGATTCATAGTGTCGGCGAAGATTGTATTCTTTGAATACCGCCACCGTCTCTTGACAGATGAGACAAACAGCCTTTTCTTTGCATTGAACAAAAAAATAATCGTTTGTCCACTGCAGGTTAAATACCCTGCATTCTGAATCAATTTGTCTCTTACCTAACCTTTTCGCCATTATTCCGTTCTCTCTTTGACAGGGCCGGGCCTAGGATTTTTTTTCTGGAGGCCAAATAGGAAAAAAATCCGATAGCGTCTCTGGTATTGTTCAGAGGGCCGGGCCAAATGTGCTGACGGGCCGTATCCGGCCCGCGGGCCGTAGTTTGGTGACCACTGCAGTAGTAGAATAAATGTTATTTTCTTACACGTTCATTTCCTCAAAGAAAGGTTATGGTCAGTGCCAGGAAGCAGCATGAAGTTAGTTGTAAATCATATATGTTAATTTTGCACTAGGCTAAACAAAGCCTTGTCATCATGGTGTTACCTGTAGCAAATTGACCTCGCCACAGATAAGGATATCTCCTACTCTGACCTCAAGGCCCTTCTGGACAAGAGCAACAAGGGTCTTCTGGTGGTTGATGTACGGACCAAAGAGGAGGTAGACCGAGGACACATTCCAGGATCCATCCATATTCCAGGTGAGCTTCAGCGGGAGTCCTAGAGTTAAATTATATTCTCAGGTCCAATTGGAATTTGCTGTCCGGAGTCCAAACCTTTGGAAACATAATCAACCCCAATTCAGCCAAAAATGTGCAAAGCAGGATTGATTTATTGTTGTTGTCACTGAGCCAGCTATTTTGGTATATTTATTGCATTGTAAATTGAGCCGTATTGTAAACTTCCTGTGTCTCCTCTCCCAGTTGATACAGTGGAGAGTGCCCTAGCGCTGGACCCTACTGAGTTCCAGGCCAAATTCGGGGTGCCCAAGCCCCCCTTGGACACCCCTGAGCTGGTGTTTCACTGTCAGATGGGCCGGCGAGGAGGCGTGGCCACAGACAAGGCACGAGGCCTGGGATTCCAAAAGTATGAGTGTACATTTTGAAAAATACTGCTCTGTATACTGTGTTTGATGCCTTGGGAACTTTTTGTAAATGATGACATCTTCCTTCTCTCATTTCAGGGACGTCAACTATGCCGGAGGATACAAGGAGTGGTCTGAGAAAGAGGGGAAATGGGGCGCACGATTAGCCTGCATTGTGAAAGCAGGGCATAAAAACGCACAAATGATGCTCACATTCTGCTGAAACATTTCGCTACTTTTATTTGTTATTGCACATGTGTTATGTATGTTTTAAAATAAAGATAGAGAATAAGATTGTACAATGAGTTGTTTTGTGTTTTTGACCACGTTTCCCCATAGCGCTCCACTTTTCCCATCTTCTACCTCTATCATGGCTGTAGCCTTGCACTGCTTATTGCCTTCAGTAAGACTTTCCCCGAAACTGATCCCCTTTCCCTCATCACCTCCTCATGCACAGTACCACTGAAGTTGCACCGTTGCACATTAGGGAACATCCCATAGACATAGAGGGAAACCCTGGCTTTGCCTGAAATGAGTCCGTTATCAGACATGTTATCAGACATGTAGTGTATGTGTGTTTTTGCTTGATGGTTAAATGCCTTTTTTATCAAATCCCTGAGTGGGTCTTCTCCTTTAACCTCGCCACTAATTTAGTGTAAAGGGGCACCGTAAAAGATCTTGGTCTGAGACTGATTGGTTAACATAGTGGAATTTTGTGATTGTTGTATCTATTGGCTTGGCAATTGAAAAATATTAATGTCAGGATGATGTTGATTAACGTATAGTCGATTTTGTAGCTAGAGGAATAGCCTCAGAAACACACACAGCAAGTTCCTCATACTTATCTTATATACAGTGATGGAGGTTTGGTTTTGATTAACACATGTTAGCATATGTGCTTAGAATAAGAAGTACAGTATATCCAATATAAACGCCCGCTTTCATCACTCTCCAGATTTTGATAAAAAAAATTAAAAAAACATTTTAAAATGTAAGAGAAATTGAAAAAATACATTTTCATTTAATTTTGATTTTACATTTTTATCTCCAAGTTGTTTACGGATGTGACACAACAACGTCTGGACATCACTACTACTACTACTATGTCCCCAAAGCCGACTGCTCTCGTGGTAAAGTTGCTATCCAATAATAAAGCAGTAATGCCTATGTAATACTGTGTGGTTAGTTGTGTTTGCATGTTGTATTTAAACAATTTCACTACGTTTAAGCAGTAGTATGCTCTCTGTGTGACACATAGTCCTTTCTTTTGCAGTGTGGCAGACATACAGCTGTCAGAGGTATGAATACTACTAGAAGAAGGCATGGAGGACCCAACATGACATCAAGCTGTAACTGTCAATGTCAAAAACTACAGACCAGTATTCCTTCTTTCTTTTCTCTCCAAAACTCTTGAGCGTGCCGTCTCTAGCCAACTCTCCTGCTATCTCTCTCAGAATGACTTTCTTGATCCAAACCAGTCAGGTTTCAAGACTGGTCATTCAACTGAGACTGCTCTTCTCTGTGTCACGGAGGCTCTCCGCACTGCTAAAGCTAACTCTCTCTCCTCTGCTCTTATCCTTCTAGACCTATCTGCAGCCTTTGATACTGTGAACCATCAGATCCTCCTCTCCACCCTCTCCGAGTTGGGCATCTCGGGCGCTGCTCACTCTTGGATTGCGTCCTACCTGACAGGTCGCTCCTACCAGGTGGCGTGGCGAGAATCCGTCTCCGCACCACATGCTCTCACCACTGGTGTCCCCCAGGGCTCAGTTCTAGGCCCTCTCCTATTCTCTCTATACACCAAGTCACTTGGCTCTGTCATATCCTCACATGGTCTCTCCTATCATTGCTACGCAGACGACACACAATTAATTTTCTCCTTTCCCCCTTCTGATAACCAGGTGGCGAATCGCATCTCTGCATGTCTGGCAGACATATCAGTGTGGATGTCGGATCACCACCTCAAGCTGAACCTCGGCAAGACGGCGCTGCTCTTCCTCCCGGGGAAGGACTGCCCGCTCCATGATCTCGCCATCACGGTTGACAACTCCATTGTGTCCTCCTCCCAGAGTGCAAAGAACCTTGGCGTGACCCTGGACAACACCTTGTCGTTCTCCGCTAACATCAAAGCGGTGACCCGATCCTGCAGGTTCATGCCCTACAACATTCGCAGAGTACGACCCTACCTTACACAAAAAGCGGCACAGGTCCTAATCCAGGCACTTGTCATCTCCCGTCTGGATTACTACAACTCGCTGTTGGCTGGGTTCCCTGCCTGTGCCATTAAACCCCTACAACTTAGCCAGAACGCTGCAGCCCGTCTGGTGTTCAACCTTCCCAAGTTCTCTCATGTCACCCCGCTCCTCCCCACACTACACTGGCTTCCAGTTGAAGCTCGCATCTACTACAAAACTATGGTGCTTGCCTACGGAGCTGTGAGGGGAACGGCACCTCCTTACCTTAAGGCTCTGATCAGACCCTACACCCAAACGAGGGCACTATGTTCATCCACCTCTGGCCTGCTAGCCCCCCTACCTTTACGGAAGCACAGTTCCCACTCAGCCCAGTCAAAGCTATTCGCTGCTCTGGTACCCCAATGGTGGAACAAGCTCCCCCACGACGCCAGGACAGTGGAGTCACTGACCACCTTCCGGAGACACTTGAAACCCTACCTCTTTAAGGAATACCTGGAATAGTATAACAGTAATCCTTCTACCCCCCCTAACCCCCCCCATAAAAAAAAAAAATAAAAAAAAGGGGTGGTTGTCCCACTGGCTATCTTAAGTTGAATGCACCAATTTGTAAGTCGCTCTGGATAAGAGCGTCTGCTAAATGACTTAAATGTAAATGTAATACCTCTCCAGTTCAGTGTTGTTCTCTACTAACATCATTATCACTCACAGGATGGATCAAATCTCACTCTGTTTGACATGAAAAACATATTTTCCTCTTGTTAAATGTCATTAAAACTGGTTTGCATCTTCATATTTACCAGAAGCAAAAGCACACATAGTCCATGGATGTCTGAATATGAGGAGGATAAATACAGTGAGGGAAAAAAGTATTTGATCCCCTGCTGATTTTGTACATTTGCCCTCTGACAAAGAAATGATCAGTCTATAATTTTAATGGTAGGTTTATTTGAACAGTGAGACAGAATAACAACAACAAAATCCAGAAAAACGCATGTCAAAAATGTTAGAAATTGATTTGCATTTTAATGAGGGAAATAAGTATTTGACCCCCTCTCAATCAGAAAGATTTCTGGCTCCCAGGTGTCTTTTATACAGGTAACGAGCTGAGATTAGGAGCACACTCTTAAAGGGAGTGCTCATAATCTCAACTTGTTACCTGTATAAAAGACACCTGTCCACAGAAGCAATCAATCAATCAGATTCCAAACTCTCCACCATGGCCAAGACCAAAGAGCTCTCCAAGAATGTCAGGGACAAGATTGTAGACCTACACAAGGCTGGAATGGGCTACAAGACCATCGCCAAGCAGCTTGGTGAGAAGGTGACAACAGTTGGTGCGATTATTCGCAAATGGAAGAAACACAAAATAACTGTCAATCTCCCTCGGCATGGGGCTCCATGCAAGATCTCACCTTGTGGAGTTGCAATGATCATGAGAACGGTGAGGAATCAGCCCAGAACTACACGGGAGGATCTTGTCAATGATCTCAAGGCAGCTGGGACCATAGTCACCAAGAAAACAATTGGTAACACACTACGCCGTGAAGGACTGAAATCCTGCAGCGCCCGCAAGGTCCCCCTGCTCAAGAAAGCACATATACAGGCCCGTCTGAAGTTTGCCAATGAACATCTGAATGATTCAGAGGAGAACTGGGTGAAAGTGTGGTGATCAGATGAGACCAAAATCGAGCTCTTTGGCATCAACTCAACTCACCGTGTTTGGAGGAGGAGGAATGCTGCCTATGACCCCAAGAACACCATCCCCACCGTCAAACATGGAGGTGGAAACATTATGCTTTGGGGGTGGGGTTTCTGCTAAGGGGACAGGACAACTTCACCGCATCAAAGGGACGATGGACGGGGCCATGTACCGTCAAATCTTGGTTGAGAACCTCCTTCCCTCAGCCAGGGCATTGACAATGGGTCGTGGATGGGTATTCCAGCATGACAATGACCCAAAACACACAGCCAAGGCAACAAAGGAGTGGCTCAAGAAGAAGCACATTAAGGTACTGGAGTGGCCTAGCCAGTCTCCAGACCTTAATCCCATACGTCAGCCTCAAAACCTTAATGACTTGGAGAAGATCTGCAAAGAGGAGTGGGACAAAATCCCTCCTGAGATGTGTACAAACCTGGTGGCCAACTACAAGAAACGTCTGACCTCTGTGATTGCCAACAAGGGTTTTGCCACCAAGTACTAAGTCATGTTTTGCAGAGGGGTCAAATACTTATTTCCCTCATTAAAATGCAAATCAATTTATAACATTGTTGACATGCGTTTTTCTGGATTTTGTTGTTGTTATTCTGTCTCTTACTGTTCAAATAAACCTACCATTAAAATTATAGACTGATCATGTCTTTGTCAGTGGGCAAACGTACAAAATCAGCAGGGGATCAAAAACTTTTTTCCCTCACTGTAATAACAGGATGTCTTAATATGAGGAGGATAAATAATAACAGGATGTCTTAATATGAGGAGGATAAAATAACAGGATGTCTTGAATATGAGGAGGATAAATAATAACAGGATGTCTGAATATGAGGAGGATAAATAATAACAGGATGTCTTAATATGAGGAGGATAAATAATAACGGGGGATAAAATGCTTTAATAACAGTGCTTGTGGTAACAACTTTAAAGGTCTTTAATAAACAAACCAAGGCCTTTTACTTATTTACCCATTGCTGACGCTGTCGCTATGTAAGTGCCCTTTTCAGTCAAGAGGACTCAATTCCCTGAAGGTCCTCCATAGTCACCTGCACACATAGGCCATGAAGAAGAGTGTTTATACTCAGAACACAACAGAGCACTTTTAGAAAGCCAGCAGCATAATTATATAATGTAGAATAACATTTAAATAGTAAAGTAAATCAATACTGATATAACCCATTATAAACCTAGTGTGAATATCAACCCAAGTCAAGAGCAGAACCCATAGCAAAGGCTTTTGCTTCAAATACATATTTGACCTTTAACCTCTGTGTCTGACCTGTACGTGGCAGGGGTCAGGGTAGTCACAGACGTCCTCTGGGAACACAGTGCGCATTAACTGCTTCAGCTCTGTTGGGTAGACATAGGTGGGATGGCCACCTTCTGGCAGCCCACC